AAAAAACTCACTTTCCAAATTCTGGAGCGGTTAGACTGTTGAAGGATGCTGCGTCTGCCTGTGAAGAAAATTCGGAAGCAGTTCAAACTCCTTCTCTTGCTGGTCCTGCTTACCTTTGCCGTGTGGTTCACGTACCTGCACATCAACCTGGTCCGACAGGGCAAAGCCATCAAATTCCACTTCAACTATGGCAAAGGTAGGGCATCGCTTCCTCTTTCTTGCCCTGGTGTATGACTTCGAAAGTTCTAGTTTTAACAAGTGCGAATACAGCTCGGACACCTGTGTAGTCCCTTTACAATCTGCCCCGTTTGTCCGCCAGGGAGTCTTCTCGAAAGGGCAGCATAGTCTGATTGACTAGTCTGTACCTCTAGACAACTCCAGATTATCTGACATGTTCACAGTTGCTTTCATAGCTTTTCGTTGTACTTTTTGGTAGATCTTTAGGTCGAAAGTGAAATGCTTAAGGGAAAAGAGTATAATTCTAAGAGAAAATAGACGCTTAACAGTGTCAGCGTGGCCAAATAACCGCTTTAACAAAGTGGGATCTTAGAAAATGATCGCCATGATTATAATTTCTCCCTCACCGACATCCTGAAGTTTGTGTTGTTCAGAGAGATATACAGTAGGTAAAGTAATGTCAATCTTCCTGATTTCTGTAACTGAATTGAGATTGTGTGCTGTGTAGTTCAGTAACCAAGTGACCTTTATTCATAATGCATTAGAATGGCGCCACTATTTTGGATTTTCGTAAAATTGGAGGATTTGTTACTCAAGTTGGGAAAGTACAAATCGGATAAACTAATTACCACATAATATGACTAATAATTGCCTAATAATTTGAGAAAAGCAGTAAGCGACATACATAGAAATATCGAGTAAATTAAGTAGTGTGTTTGAATGTACTGTACATTATTTACAGTGAATATTATGAATTAATACCAGGGGACTTATTAATTACTAAAATACGATTAGAAGATTGATCTGCGAGAATCACTCAGACATGTCTTGGAAAAGCTCGTTTAATTCCAACAGAAATGTTGTGTCTAAAACCTCAAGAGATAATTACAGGCTTCCAATAGAATGGTCTAGTCATTGAGGTACTGTATGCATGTCTACTAAAATGAATGCAGCTAAGGTAGAATCAATTACAAATCATACTATGATGTTTTTAATCTACTGAATGTTCAATGTCTTTTTCCCACAATACCCCATTATGTCCTGCCTATCTATATCTCAGTCACAACCAGTCTAGAAGATGTAAAAAACTGATCTGATAATATTTTTAATATTTTATATTATGCTATGGTTTAAAGAATCCAGGATGCACCATGTTCACTTTAACCTTTTTATCGTTTTTATCCAAGAGCAAACGTAACTTGTAAATGTTGTATGCTTTAAATCACTACTAAGGATATCGATTTTACAAACAAGTTCGATGCGTATTATTGACCTTGCAGTTTTCCAAAGTGGATTAGCTTGTTGCACTTAAGAAGAAATTTAAACTTCTCCTTTATTTTACATTTATGACGGAGATGGCATTGCTGGTGGCTGCTGCGATATCAGAGGTTTGTTTTAAAAGCTTTTTTTTTGCTGCATTTCGAAGCTTGTTCCTGGTTTTCTGGAAGTGTTCAAAAGTCAAAAGCCTTTGTCTAGCAGGAGCATGTACAGCAGTTTGGGAAAAATATTTTTTACGTACACAGTTTTTGGAATGAAGCTGCATTCTTTGGTTTAAAGGTGGTATAAACTCCATGACAAACACAATAGGTCTCAAAACCTTGTCATGCTTTTTAGGAGTCTGCTTGCGATTGAAAGTTGTCAGAAGTGGGAAAGCACAGCTTGGATCGACCTACTCTGTTGTGAGAGACTCCTTTGTAAAGAGAGTGCCAGCAACGGGTGCCAAAACCACATTGCTTTAATTATCTGTCAGCAGATAAACAATTAAAGGGATCAGCCAGCTCATCAACCACATGATGCTACTTCTGTCATCTACCTGCGCTGATCCAGATTTAGAATACTGGGTGTCTCAAAACTGATGGCCAAGAGTGTGATTTGAAAGCTATGATGGCTCTTTGTTCAAGAGCTTTTATAAGACCCAGAGAGATCTCAAGATCCAGACTTTCTTATCTCACAGTACATTAGTAACTCAAAACACAGACTAATAGGACAGAAAGTGACCCATAACAGCTTTGTGAATCGTTTGGGTTTAAGTCTAAAAAACATTTTGCACAATACAATTACCACATAAGAAATGACTGTAATAAAATTTAAATAAAAAAAAGTGTAATCTGGGACACAAACAAAAAAATTACATGGGAACAGAAGTATATTGAGTAAAGCAACTCTAGTTTTCTAGGTCTCTTTAAGTCTCCAGCAGAAAAATTAAATGAAGACCATGAACAGGACACCCAATATAAAGAAATGTGTCTTTGGTCTTATACAGTATATCTATAATCTTTGCTTGGTGGGTCCACAGGTACAAAGATATTCTTTTAAAAGATCCTTACTTTGTTAGTAGGTCTAATCCTCTTGTCATAATTGCTAGCTTATAGTTCAGTTTGATTTCTTAATTTTGAAATGTTGGTGACCCGATGGAATGATCTCTAATGAGAGGAAGGTTCTATTAAAAAGTGAAAGTATTGATATCATCTATGAATGATCCCTTTTCATCGCTGAAGGGGTCTCGGGCTGTTGGCGCACATACAGAAGATATGCTGAATTGCAAAGGCATTTCATTTCTATCTGTCCATCCCATACCGAACCGCAAACATAGGGCAAAAAAGACACTACAGTCACACGTGACAGGGCACAGTAATGAGGTGCTCAGCTCTCTTCCTCATGGGGGCCAGTAATTGAACTCTAAGAAGGACCATCTAGAACACACCTGTCCTTCATGCCCGGAAGATGGGAGGAATCCGGAGTCCACAGAGAACATGAAGGTCTGTAGAAGGTGCCGAGATTAAACCTTGTGAAACAGCAGTGCTAACTGCTGCGTCACAATACTCTCCCAAATCACAAAACCCAAAGAGAAAGCATTGCCACTCCACTGGATGCAGCTAAACACTTAGAATGAGACTGAAAAACACATAAATATTATAGACTTTATTTGGTAAAAAAAGAAGAAAGTACCCCATGTGGGAACCCAAATTAACATGCCTGAAACAACTGCAGTCAAAGCAAAGATGCAGAGATTCCACAAGGGCGCTTGTTACTTAAATTGCAGAGGATACTTCATCCAATTAAGTGTTGTACGTGCTGTGTGCAGTGTGCTTTGACCCACTGCAATCAGTTCCCATTCATGACCTCAATCATGCTCTGTAGGGACCTCTCTGCATTGCATTCAGCAGCCTTGCAAAGACAATTTGAGAGAGTGAATGGAAACCACTAACCAGTTCTGCACACTAATGATTTCTAAAAGCTTTTGTCCCCCGACCTGTGAAGTTCATGGTAACCCTTTATGAACCTTGTAGCTTGAAGGGCTCTCAGTCCCAAGGGAACATGTTGCTTTACATTTTTAATGTAAATGCAAATGAACACAAAAGGCCCAGATATGACTAAATAAGACAGTGCTGCTAGGAAAAGAATAATAATACAGTGAGTACTTAGAATGTTTGCAGCACTGAGAGAGAATTCCTCAGATGGGTTACTTGACAGCAATTGACAGAAACATAATTTAAAGTGAGATTTGTTGAAGCCACAGGCTCAGGTTTGACTTTTGGGCTTTTAATTAACAAAAACAAAATCAAGAGCACTTCAACATGAAGT